AAGGGTCTAGGCCCGAAACGTCAGCCTCTCTGCTCCTATGATGCTGCTTGGCCTGCTGTGTTCATCCAGCACTGCACCTTGTTGTCTCGTTGTCTCTTAGTTCTGTTATCTTCCTCCTTGTGTGTGGGCAATAAGAAGCTATGTAGGACAATAATCTGACAGGACAAAGGAAATTGGGAACAGATCAATATAAAATTGTTTTATCTAAGCAGAAATTCTGCAACTGGGGATGGAGGGGGTGGAGAGGTAGGGGTGTGGGATGGTGGGGGAAGAGGGTGAAGAGAGAAGGGAAAATTGCAAATTAAGGGACGGGCTCGGTATGCTGATCAGTAAGAACATGCTGTCCAATGATACATGGTAAAACAATTCATTGAGAATTGTAAGAGTCTTTCTTTTAGCTGATTTTTGCAGAAATAGTTGACAGAAGCAATATTTTAACTCAGTTTTCAGTCATTTCAATGCCATTTCTATTAGTGAGGACTACAACAGTGTGCCCTATGGAAGGGCTGGTTATTCTGGCAACTTTTTTAGGTTTTCATATATTGGCCCATGCATGCTCTAGAAATTGGCATCAGATTTCCTCCAGTAAAACTGAGCACCATTTCTTTTCATAGCATACTCTAGGCCATTATGATTATAAATACATTTTGAATATGTAAATGTACTGCATGTGGAAACTTGCTTGCACTCTTGCGGTAAGAAAAAACAGCTTGCAACATTGTGTTCTGAAGGGTAGACAAATTTGTAATGGGTAAATTTTAAAACTGGCTAAGTCTTTAAGATTGTAATGTCATCTTCGTATAGCATAACTTACGATATTATGCATTAACCTGACATTTCACGGTTCAACAGGACAAAAATGTAGGTTGAAATTAAAAGGGCAAGTTTAAGATCTTTTTCAACTTGAATTTCAGGCTATGCAGCGTGATATTGATCTTTCTTTATAATAAGTGAATGTGTCAAACAGAATCTAGTGGGTTTCTTTTCATAAAGAATACCTATCCAGAAATAGGGTGAAATACTGTTTTTGTTTTCTTTTTCTATGGATATGTTTGTAATCTGTAGTAACAATTTTCTGAGAAGTGGTATTTTAGGTTTTTTTGTCGTGCTTTTGATATGAACTGTGAGCTCCTATAAAAGGAACACCACCTGATAGGTGGCAGATGACCTCTTCTAATAATTTGAGGTCAGCTAATTTCACTATAGAGGCTTATTTTATTCTAAATTTAATGTATTTGTATGTTTATTTTAAATGGTTTCCCCCATTCCACTTCCCTGAGCCCTTGCTCTGATTGAGGGCTCCAAATATGAGTAAGTGGCAAAAGGCAAGTGGAACATCTTGGGCCATCATTTGTTTTTAAAACGTGTTTTATGATGGCCTGGGCTTGGCATGTCTACACCATCAGGACACTCAATTGCGCAATCCTGAAACTCGAGTATCTGATTGCACCTGGGAACACATTCAAGAGGAAAATGGTGAGAGGCTGCAAGATAGAGTTGGAGAGGCCGCTCCAAGGTGAAACCAATCGGGTCATGTAGGAAGCGATACTAAAGTTGTGACTCTTGGCAAGATGGTGGTTTCTATTACTTTTGTTTTGCTTGAACAGCAGTAATGTTAACCAGACACATGTTGTGGCTGAAGGTTCATGTTGAACACAGCAAGTCAGTTCCTCCTAATTTGAATGCATAGGCATTGCCCTATTTTGTCTTCTATTCCCAAACTAATTTTCTAACCATTTCAATAAATTAGCTTTTTTTTTGAGCTTTAATTTTAGCAAATGGCTTCTTTTGTGGAACCTCATTGAATGCCTTCTGTAAATTAAATATGGCATTCAGAACCATTCCACTGCCTACTGCTTGAGTTACTTTCTCAACATTCAGTTGGGTTTTTCCAATATGACCTACCCTCTAATCAGCTTAAGTTTCTATCATTATTGATATGGACAAAGGAGAAAGTTAAATTTAATTCCTTGGATATGTTTTCATTTTGGCCTTGATTTTCTTTTGGGGGAAGTATGCCACAGCTTATTTCAAACAGTCTGCTTTAATGGTCCAAACCTCTTTTAAATAACCCACGCTCACTTGTGCTCTCGCTCTCATAAAACATTAACTGTGGACAGTAGGGATCTGAAATGAGCAAAAAGAGAAATGCAGCATTAGCACTGTTTTCTCTGCACAGACATGCACGACCTGAGTTTATCCTACAAAAGAGACAATTTCAGGAGATAATACAGAAGTACGATGTTTTGGTGCTTTCAAATCTGAAATAATTGTTGCATCATGTGCCCATAAGGATACAAGGAAGAAAATGGTGGTAGGGGGTAAGAATGGCAAATAATTACAATTAAGAATAACTTTATAAATCAAAGATTTGGATTTTAATTCAGTGACTTTTGTCTGACTCCAGGAAGTCAGTTCTTTTCTTTGGGAACCTGGGTTCAGGTAAGTGCAGTTGGCTGAAATTGATAGAGCCGTAACAAGATGATGTCGGTGTGCAGACTTGGTCTGCTTTTCAGGCAAAAACAGGAGGCTTCCAGAAAACTGAGCTTTGAGGAGATATCGGACCTGAAGCAGGCTTGGATCAACCCATTCAGTCTGCTTGTTCACATAGCTTCTGGATGTTAAGTGGACTGAATTTTTACTAAATGCACGGGGATCCAGAGATTTACAGTCAATTTCTCACAGGTGGGGACTGGTATGTTTGGGCATGTTATAGGCCTGTTAAGTATTCAGTTACAATTTAACAACTGGCTTCTATCCCTCCTACCAGGGTTCCGTTGTCTCCACCTTGGAAAATAAATAGGCTATGTTTTGTTTTTTTTTCTATGACAAAAATAGTGAGACGTAAATGCCATTTCAGGTATAATACAATTCAGTAAATTTGTTTTTAAACTCCTGTTTGGAGTGATGGTGTCTGCTGTTCTTTTAGTGTTTGATAGTGAGGTTCACACAATGCAGGAAGATGACAGTTTTAGTTCTGTCCTACAAACCTGCTACTGGAACTTTCCAGAAATTGAAGTCTGCTTGTGCCAGTGACAATAGTTCAGACCATCAAAATACTTTCTAAAGTTTTAAACGAGAATGTACAGCTTGTAAAACAATTCATGATCTAACTTGGTGCCTGTATGGTGTCATATCTAGAAGACCTTCTGTCCTTAATTATAGATTGATAACTTCCCCAAGAGATCTTGAACTGACACATTTCTAA